GTACAATGAAAGATACATAGATCAATGGAACAGAATCAAGAATCCAGAAATTAACCCATCCACATACAGCCAACTGATTTTTGACACAATACCTAAATATATCACATGGGGAGGTGATAGTCTCTTCAACAGATGGTGCTGGCAGAACTGGAAAGCGACATTCAAAAGACTGAAACAAAACCTTCACCTCATGCCTTAAACAAAAACCAACTCAAAATGGATTAAAGACCTAAACGTGAATCCAAAAATTATGAAGGTCATCAATCAATGAAAAAATAGGGACAAATGTGAGGGCTCTACTTCAGGGAATACACAGACTACCAAACATTTTGAAAACTACACAACAAATGTAGACAAAATAGATGATTGGGACATAGTAAAAATGAAAAACTTATGTGCATCAAAAGACTTCACCAGAAGAGTAAAAAGGGAACCTACAGAACGGGAAAAAATCTTTTGCAATGACACATCATACAAGAGACTCCTTTCTAAAATATATAGGAAACTACAACACCTCTACAAGAAAAAGACAAATAACCCAATTAAAAAATGTGCACAGGACATGAACACACACTTCACCAAGGAGGAGATCCAGGCAGCCAACAAACATGAAGAAATTGTTCACAAACACTAGCCATTGTTGTTGTTAGGTGCCGTCGAGTTGGTTCCGACCCATAGTGACCCTACAGGGTTTCCGAGCCTGTAAATCTTTACGGGAGCAGAAAGCCTCATCTTTCTCCCGCGGAGCGGCTGATAGTTTTGAACTGCTGACCTTAAGGTTCACAGCCCGATTCATAAACACTATGCTACCAGAGCTCCTTCTAGCCATTAGAGAGATTCAAATCAAAACAACAATGAGGTATCATCTCACACCAGCAATAACAGCAAAGATCAAAAAAGTAGAGGACAATAAATGCTAGCGAGACTGGGACTCTTCTACATTGCTGATGAGACTGAAAACTGGTTCAACCTTTGTGGAAAGCAATATGGCTCTTCCTCAGAAGGTTGGAAATAGAAATAACCTTATGATCCAGCAATTCCTTTACTTGGTTATGTACCCACAAGAAATACAAGCTGTAACACCAAGTTCATAGCAGCACTATTTACAATAGCAAAAAGATGGAGGCAGCCTAAGTGCCCATCAATGGAAGAATGGATAAACAAACTGTGGTACATACACACAATGGA